GTTTTCTTGTCATTAAGATATTATAACAAAAGCATTTTTGAGATTTATTTTTAAATATCTAGTAACTTGATTGTGTATTGCTCTTATTTGTCTCTTTGGCAATAGTCTTTATTTTTTTTGTTAATATTCTAGTTTATTATTGCCAAATGATTTTTCTATAGTATATATTTTTCATTATCTAGGCTTATTTCTATTACTGCTAATGCCTTGTATAGTAATGTTTTAACTTACATTATATTTGTATTCTTAAAGTTTTTATATATATATATTTGATCTTTTTTTGTTGATGTTTAGTAGCAGATTCTATATTGTTAAACATCTTTGTTTGCTCTATTCTTAATTTGTTTTAAGTTTTTTTTAGCTAGTTTTTTTCTATAAGAACTTTTTTTTTTCTATTTTTTATTAGTTTTCTTTTTTCTATTTAGTTTTTTTTATATTCTTTCTTATTCATTTTTTTGTTTTCTGTCTCATCTAATATTATTTTAAACTATTCTTTATACTTTTAGTCTAGATGGTCTATTGCTTATTTTCTTCTTTTTTCATATTCAAATTGTATTTTTATCTAATTATTGACTTTTGTAAATATTTTATTTATACTTGCAACATGTTTGTTTATATTTAGTACCCATTTAACTATACTAATTTTTTTGTTTTACTAAGAACATTGCACAACAGAATTCTTATACTAATTGGTATTTTGTTTTTATATAATCTATTTTTTAATGTTTACATACTTTGCTTTAATAATATTTCTAATATTTCTTTCTGAATATGTATTTTTTCTTCAGTTTTGTGTTTTTTTTTCTTTTTTTATCTTTTAGTATTAAGTTTTGTCTTAATACTTTTTCATTTATTTCTATTTCTTCTGCCTTTTTATTTACATTATTTTTTTTAAACTTTCTTCTATTATTTGGTTTTTTATCTAAATTTTGAAATTATTATTTGTGTCTAACTTCTCTTTTTGCAGTCAAAATTGCTTATTAGCTTTGTTTATTTCACTTGTTGTTTGTTTTTTAATTTCTAATAGAGTAATTTCTCTTTTTTTAAGTATTTGTTTTTTTGAGCTTTTTATATTTTTAATTTCTAATAGATTTTTACTTGTTTGGTTTAGCTCTTTTGCTTACTTTTCTATACTATTTGAATTATTTATATTAATTTTAATTATTATTTCATATATTTTTTTAACATTATTGCTTTTATTAAATCAGTTTTTCATAATGCTGCTGTTACAATATCTCTAATATTAAAGAGGTTGTCTCTGTCTGCTAACTTTAGTTCTAGCTTTCTGCTATTTATTTGTTCTAATTTTATATTTTCTCTCTCTTTTACTAAACTTAGAGTTAATAACTCTTCTATTTTTGTTTGTGTTGTTATATTGTTTACTATTTATATTACACTTTTTAATGTTTCTATTTTCATATGCCTAATATATGCTTATATGTTTCTTTTGTTTATACTTACATGTCTTATTTGACTATTTCTTGTACATATTTGTTTTTGTATAACCAATAAATTTGCAAAAATAGAGTTAATAAGAATTTTTACTTTTTAAAAAAAATTCTAAGTTTTCATTAAAAACTTTTTGCTTTTTTGATATTATTTGTTGTTGTTTAGATATTCTTTCTGCTTTCCAACTTGGTTATTTGTAGTTTCTATTTTTTTGTTTTTTTTTAATATCTAAAGTATTGTTATTTTATACATTTTTATATTTTTATATTTTTTTATTTTCTATAATTTTTAGTTAAAAGATCTATAAGAAAGAGTTCTGTTATTGTAATTGTTATTATTATTATTATTTATTATTATTTTTTTTAATATTAAAATAACCTCTTTGGTTTTTTCAATTTTTATTACTAACTCTTTTGATAATATAATTCTATAAATCATTACAAAAAAAGTGTACAATTAGCTACAATATAATTTTTTTATATTATCTATTTAAAGAGTACACTGAAAGGTTCTTTGTCAATTGTTATACCTAATACCTTTGCTTAAATGTTCTATTTTAAACCTTTTAAACTTGCATTTGTATTAATATTACTAAATCAAATTTAGGTTATCATTTCAATCTTAGAACTATTTTATTCTTAAAGTAAATCTTCCAAGACCTTTTGTGCATATTTTTACAACTAACTCAGTATCACTATAGCAAAACTAATACTTGAGATCAAAGTTTTATTATTTAACTACTATATCTTTGTAAAGTTTACTTAAACCTTAGTATTTATTTCATAGCATATCTCTTGTACTTTAGTATATTTCAGTCTTTTTATCAGATTTCCAATTCAAATAAGCTATATAGAACTATAACCAAAGCATTAATATATTAAATTAGCTCAATATCTTTTTTTTTAGTTTATTTTAGTAGTTTGATTAGTAGTATCTTCAAGACTCTCAATCAGAAGTTTCTATTTATCTAAATACTATAACCTTGGTATCTATTTTTTAGATCAGTTTTTATAGTAGTATTATTAAAAATTTATACTACTTCTCTACTTAGGTTTTTGCAAATAGATTTCTTGTTTTCCAATTTAATGGATTTATATAATTACAAGAACTTATCTAAAGTTTGCATCATCTAATACTGGTTTGCATTTTTCTATATAACACTATACTTACACAGATGTCTTATGATCTGCTAGTTATGCCAGTATAATTATTATTATAAGTATTCTAATTCAACTATTAGAAACAATTGTTATAATATGAATATTACATAGATAATTATCCAAATTTTTATTATTTATAGAATTTGAACACCTAACCTACTACTTTAGAGTTAACAATTTATCTATTTTACTAAATCACTATATTTTTATTACTTATTATTTTATTATTATTATTATTTAATATTAGTTATTTTTATTACTATATTATTATTATTAGTTATTAGAACTTTTTAGTTGCTTAGTAATTACTTAGTTATTTAATTATTTTTTTTTAATATTAATGGTGAGGCCGTAGTTACTTAATTATTTAGTTGCTTAGTTACTTAACTACTTGGTTATTTACTTATTTAGTTACTTATTTGCTTAGTTATTTAGTTATTTAGTAATTAGTTGCTTAATAATCATTTAGTTACTAGTTGCTAAAATCTTTTAATTATTTAGTAATTATTCAGTTGTTTAGTTGCATAATTGCTTAGTTGCTTAATGCTTAATTATTCAATTACTAATTATTTAATTATTTAGCTACTTAACTATTTAGCTTATAGATATATAAACCTTACTAAATTTTTTAAGTTTAATTAAGCAACAAACATCTTTCTTTCTCTTAATATTATAAACATATTTTGAAATTCTTTAAAAAGAAATATAATAACTTAGTAAAATAGATAAGTTGTCAACTCTTCAAGTAATAGATAGTGAGTTCAAAACCTATTGACAGCAAAAATTTCGATAATCATCTATGTAATATATAGACAATATTATAGCAATGACATTTTGTTGATTAGTTGAAATAAGATATCTGTAATACAATTATACTAATATAACTAGTAGGTTATAGGACATTTGTACTGTCCAATATCAGTTTGCATTTTTTTGTATAACTTTAATACAGTACAAACCCAAAATAAGTTCTTGTAACTGTGTAAATCTGTAAACTAAAAAGCCAAAACTTATTTAAAAAAACCTGAGTAGAAAGGTAGTATGAATATTTGATAGTATTATTATAAAGATTAGATCTAGAAAACAGATACTAATATAAAAGAAATTAGACAGACAAGAATCTCGAATAAGAGGTACTATTAATCAGGCTGCTAGAAGTCTTGAATTAAAGGAAAAAATCTTGAGAACAGACTCTAAAATATCAAAAACAGGTCATAGTTCTTTCAGGCTATTTGAATTAAAAGTCTAAAGTCAAAAGTAAGATATATTATAAGTACTAAGAATATACTATAAAGTTGATACTAGGGTCTGAGTAAACTCTACAAAAGTGAGCCCTATTAACAAAAAGATTAAAAGTATATAATTAGTTAGCAGAAGAGCCCTCTAGAGCTTTACAGTCAGGTGACATATTTTGAAATATGTAATGACTTGACAGATATACAGAAAGGAGAGTCAAGGTTAGGTTAAATGATACTTAAGTATATAGGAATTTGTATACTATTTGTCAATATAAGTATAGGGATCAGAATGTTTAAATAAGTAATCTTCTAGTAGATTGCAGATATGGCAGCTAGTATAGAACCTATTGTGCAAACAGACTACTTAAAATAGACAACCAAAAGTTGTACATATATCTAGTTATATACTCACCTTGTACAAGTTATATAATTATAATTAAAATATAATAAAGGTAATAGTTACTTATAATTACAGTCTTAGTAAAAGCAAAAAAAAAAAATTTTTTTAAAAACAAAAACCTAAAAATAATCTTTCTTATAATTAATTTAATAAATAACTTTGATTATAAACTGTATTGATATTCTTTTTTTAAGATAATTTCTACAAACAAGGTTTATTACTTTTTTAGTAAATAAAATAAAATTATTAGTATTGTATTAACTTTTTTAAACTGGTTCAGAAAAGAGTATACTTTTATAACAACATTTAACAGAAACTATACTTTTTTTTAAATATCACATATATTTGTAAAGAATTTGCTGTGCTGTATTGTTATTATAATATAAAAATTAAAAAAATTTTTATCTATAACAGTAGTTTTAAGAGTAACAATATGCATTAGATACTTTGAATAAATGTAATCTTAAAGATGTTATTATAAAACAAGGTAAATTATATATACAAAAAGTTAAAATAAGCAAGACCTGTATAATAATATATAGACAGACTACTTAAATTAGTTACCAAAAATGCACATATAACTAACTATAACCTTCTATATATAAACACCTTTAAAAGCATTTGTATCTAATAAATTTGAATAAAAATACCATTTCTTAAAGGCAAAAATTTTAATTTAAAAAATAATAATAATAATTTTACTGATTAATTATATTTTAAGATATTATATAATATAAAAAATTATAAAAGAAATTAAAACAACAAAAAAATACTTATAGTTCAAAATTTTGTTTATAAAAATGTTTTTTATATAATAATTAAAATATAATTAATTAACCAACCTAAACCAAATAAATTTCAAATAATTGGCTGAATAACTCTTAATCTGATAATTTGTACAACTATTTGAGAATCAATAATCAGATAAAAGATAGATAAATAACATCAGAAATAAGCAAAGATTTTAAAAAATTCTAAAAAAATAAATATAAAAAATAAGATAAAAACAAAAATTTAAGTAAAAGTTTAAAACTTTTTGAAAGTAAAATGTAAAGTTATCTTAACTAATTGCAATCATTTAACATAAAATATTTTGATGCAGTTAACTGATCAAAAGGAATTTTCTCAGTTCAAGTCATTATTATTGCATACTAACAAAAAATTTTCTTGTAAAATTTTATTATAAATACAACCCTTTAAACCAAACATTAACCTACTGGTAGAACCCTAACCTTAAACTAATTGCAAACCAATTTTTCAATAAGATCACAAGTTGAAGAAAATTTTTAAGGTGATGATGCTAAACTTCTACATATTTATAGGATTTACTAATTTTTTCCAAATTTATATTGGAAAAAATTAGTAAATTCTACAATAGTATGAATAATCTCAGCCAAATTTATATTGGCTGAGATTATTCGTACCAATTGCAACACGCCACCTTCTGTTTAAAACGTAACGTCTCAGTTAGTGTTTGGGGTTAGGATTAGTGGACAGCAGTATACTAAAAAATTTGCAATTGTTAATACGCAGGTGATTTTACAAAAAAACGAATCATCACGTTACACCTACACTTGCTCTCTGATTGGTCAAAATCGAAACTTGGGGAAAATTAATAAACGCACATGGTAACGGTAATCTATCCTATTTAGAATTTAATAATAGGCTGTCAGGTAAGCGACGGGTTACATACTAGTTTTTTAAATATTAAGGTAAAAATAATTAAGCATAGTTTATAATAAAACTTATAAAGGAATGTTTAATTAGTACCTCAGAAAGTGGTTTTATAGTCAAAATTTTGAGATAAGGATATTGAGCAACATTTAACAATGATCTTAATTTAAAATATATTTATTAAGAAACATTTTGTAAGTTTTTGAATAATAAAAGGTTAAAATTTTATTTAAATGATCCCAGCAATGCATCTAAATCTGTGGTGGCATCAAACATATTGTCTACAGTCATAGTATGATCATCCCCACTTATTATAGGTGTCAAGTTATCTGTTACTTCTAATTCGTTATTAGTTATTAATGGTAACGTAATATTCAGATCTGCCTGATTTAAATTATTGTTGTCATCATTTCCCAATGTTGATGAGAAGTCAATTTCGTTTAACAGCATATCAATGCCATTGGCAGTAAAGTCATTATTATTTGCTGAAAGGTTATTCAGGATCTCATCGAATTGTGATAAATCCGTTATTTCATTATTTTTTTCGACCGAAAATATCGGCGATGTGAAGGTAAGATCATTGTTGCTTTTAAAAGGATTTAGATCAAATGAGGGATCACCTGAGATTGATGGAAAGAGTTCTATGTCATTGGTCTCACCATTTCGAATCTCTGAGTCAGATTCCAGAACCGCCTGTTCATCATTTTGCACAATAAATTTTGAGATATCCTCTGTTTCGAATGGATACGTACACTAAACGAAAAAAAAAACTTATTATAAGCATAGTGTTTAATAAGTCACAAAAAATTACAGTAACATTACTAACCGATTCATTAATACACATCAATAGATCTGAAGTTAAATTAATATGAAAATTTGAAACTTTAGAGGAACATAAAGGACATTGAACTTCCTCCGTTTGAGGCATTATTCAAAGCCTTAAAATATAAGTGCAGAAATATAGTAGTAGACAAATTATTTGAAAAGGCTCAATATAACTCAAATAAGTAAGCAAATGATAATGCCAAGTACCATATTTCCTAGCTTATCGTTATCGCTATCGTTTGGGATTAGATATACAGTAACAAGTATGAGACGTATGAGACGTATGAGATGTATGAGATGTAAATTTTCGTAGTAATAAATCACGATTCGTCACTCAGATCACGGGGGTAAATTTCCCATACGTAATACGTACGTCAGGGACAGTGAAGAATATGATTTGATTTGTAACACAATGTAGCGTAAATTTATTTAACATGTATTGTCGTGTAACATCAACGGTCTCAGTTCAGGTTAGCCAAATTTGTGTTGTCAGGCTCAAATTATGCACTTAATTTTGCCCGAAGTGGTATTGTTACACCGTATTAAAAATTGCAAAAAAATAAAAATATCGATTTCCAACAGTATCTGTTTTCCTAGTTTTTTTTTTTATTTTTTTTACAAATTCTAAGTTGTCTACATGTTATAAACCCATTCAATTCACACCACGCTAGCTCATCTAAATATTATTATGACAATAATATATGATACGAAAAGCCTAAAACTATCATCACATAGCGATAAAAAAATTTTGTTAATACTGTATAAATAGCTAATTAAATTTTAGCTTAAACTTATATTAGTGTCAAACTTTTAAACCCATATTTTAGTTATTAATAACTTTAGAAAAGTCTTTCTGTAGTAATATATAGTACAACACTAACTTTAATTAACAAAAGAATTGTTTTTGTTATGACATAATATATATTAATACATTTAGTAATCAGTTTTAATAGTGCAAGAATATGTTACAGCATAAAAACCATTTATAAAAGAAAAAAAAATAAAGATCTTGAATTAAAAATGATCTATTTGTTATAAAACATTCGTTACTACCTGCTCGTCACAAGAGCATTTTTGGTGAAAGCTCTTGCTTTGGCGCACCTAGTCAATCGACATTAAGTTCACGAACTTGAGAATATTACAGAAGTAAAGTTATTGCTCACTTTCTAAGGTGTAAAATATTTAAGAGACGATCGTTTTTTTTATGTTTTTTACACTGATACATAAAGCCTCAACAACTTCATTTAAAGTGAGATGTGACAAATCATGTGATGTCAACTTGTTGCAATTTATTTAATAATATTGTGTTAAATATTGAAGAAAGTGAACTAGATATACTTGCTGCCAAACTATAAATATTCAAATTCTCACCCAAATTCCAGATCCAAACATAATAAATCCCCGAATCCAATAGTTTTGCCAGCAAGTATAAAACTAGATATATTGATATAGTATTAAATTATATGCCAATATCGTACAGTGTATATATTTTGGCTTAAACGGATAGATGATTCTTGATTACGTTTAACGTTAAGAATGAAGCATAATATAAAATCTTAAAATTTGATATTGGTATGTGGTAACACGTCAATCGCTATGTCGTGTTTAATTCTATCACTATCACATTAAACTGCTTAGATCAAGTACAGTAGTAAATATTAATATGAGAAAGCCCTATGAATGTATTAACTCTATATAGATACTATCGAATATGATGTTAATTTTCATGATTATCTAAGACTAAAGATTTATTTTAATAAAATTAATGAGTACTTTATATTATCATTAACAAATCACAAAGTATAGTAAAAATCACACTTCATGAATCATTTTCACTATTAAAGATGACGATAGGTTCGTCATCTGCCTTATCACTGTTACGTCGATACAGTTTGCTAAAACAATATCTTATAATCAGATAAATTCTCCAAATTCCATTAAATAATACAACCGCCGTTGCAGAGATTAACGAAAGCAATGGTATTAAATCATAATGCAACACTGAGTTATAGTATATCACCTTTAAACATTAAAAAAAAAAGCATTAAAATCATAATTCTTGGATAAACAAACTGATTTCAAATCTTACCTGAATAACAAATTGACTAATATCTTTTTTTATTAATGCAGCAAATCCAATCCAATAGATCCAAGTTTTAATGCTCTTTGAGTAAGGAGCACTCAAACTTTCTCTATCTCCAATTTTTGAGGACAATATTTCTAGTGAATATATATCCACGAAACTTAGCAACGTGAATATTCGTCCTATAGTAATGTGTTTTCTCCACCAATTGAAAAAATAGCTATTATTATTACGTTCTTTGCGGATTAGGTATAGACCGAATGCTTCTTTCAGTACCGAGGATGCGATTAGGATTACACAACTAAAGTATGGAGGATAAGTTTGTTTTGCAAAATAAGGATAAAAGATTCACATCAATTATATTGGAAAATAAAAATACCTTGGTATATAAACGGATTCTACTGCTTGTGCATAATATGCGGTAAAAAGAGTATTCAAGACAAAATTGATAGCACTAAGAATGAATTTTAATACTGGACCAACTTCAGTCTATTAATTAATGATAAGTATGAGAATTTTTATGAAATGAATATAACAATCATAGCAATAATGTTAATAATATTTTTACATTTGGATCTTTGTAGGAATAGGCAAAAAATACTAAGGTCATTATAACAAGTATTGCAATAAATCCAATAATAATATAATAATAATCATTCCATAAGTCGCCTGATAAGAAAAAAAAAGGATTAATAAGATAACAACCCGAGAATAGAAGAGTAAATGAAATTACTCACTAGCTTTACTAGGATCCCAAAAATTCGTATTCAACATTTTTGCAATTACTGTCAAATGACTTCTTATAGAGTTCTCCATCATACTCGATTTATTTGTAACAATATTTTCTTCTCTATTATTTTTGAATCATAAATGGCATACGAGTATCGAATCAAATTCTGTACCCAATAAAAAGGTTAATGATATAGAAAGCTTGAAGTAAGTAAAAAAAAAAAAAAAAATGGGCGAAACAAAATACTTTTTATTAACGTTTAAAGAATAGCTTTAGTAATAAAAATCCACCGAGTTTTTGAGGTTACTATTTACATTTAATGCAATTCCGATTCGTTCAATTGGGGTCGATATTGTTAAAACTGTTTAAATCTTTTTTGTCAAATTAAAATATTTCCTAGAAACTCATTTAGATTTAGCGTTTAGAAGAGTTTAACGTTATTGGTAAATATTGGATATCTCACATTCATGAAATTCATGAAATATGTTAATAAATTTTAGACACATTAAATTACTAGATTTGTATTTTTAAATCACAGGTTTTTTTCTTCTAAAAAAACAAATACTGTAACTAAGCAGTCTTTGAATTCGAATTTCATTAATGTCTATATCGTGTTTTTTTTTTGTCATAAAAAAAAAAAGCTTGAACGTCTTTATCTAAATGTGATATAATAACAAACATTGATTTATTGAATATTCAGCTGCTTATTATTTGTTAATTTTGTTTATTATTGGCTTGGCTTAGCTTTACAGTTGAGCCCAATTTCTAAAATTATTAACAGAGCCTCAATTCTAAGAACGACATTTGTTTACAAGCTTCCACGTCAAGGTTTCCTCGCCATGTTAATATTAACCACTGACCTCGACATGCTAATATTAACCACTGAAATGGGGTCAATTTTTATTAATAATAATTATAAGATATTCTTAAACTATTAAAATGAAATATGCATCGTTATGGAAATAGATTTTCTGTTCCTTCTTTTATATAATAATATTTATATGTATTTCTTTACGTGGGATCGTTTCAATTTTATGAGTTAAAAGGCTTACGTTATTTTGGTACACTTGGTTTCTAGCGTAGTCGGCCTATATAACGATAAATTTGGATTATTCTGGATTTCAAATTTTGTAACCAATAGGAAATATCTATGAGGCTACAATAAAAATCTATATTGTCACTTTGTTTATTATAAGAAACAGAAATATTACAAGTTTTATATATGCTGTATCAAAACCTGATACGGGTGATGTCTTTAATAATCTCAATCTTTGGAATTTTCAGCATTCCTCCAATGAATAATCGACAAATAAATTTGATAAGGGAAGATGTCATGATAGTCTATGGTTAATTTCGCCGCTTTCTTTACAGCCGTTGATGATTATTGTTTGGTCGTAGCAAGAACTTACGCATCAAATACTTAATCTCTACTCCTATGCTTGATTTAATGTCACAAATTTACTTGAAGGTGGATGCGCATTTTACATATACTACTGATATCGGAAATATTGTTTCAAGCAATTATATATTCGCATGTCATGTTGAATATAGCGTGATCTTGGAAATATGTACCAACTATAATACTTTGCTGGTTTTCTTTTACTCTGAACACGTCCATATGTAGATCTGTAAATATAGCTGTATCAAATAAACTTGGTTTGGATATTAGGACGACGGACTATTTGGACTTAGACCCATTATACACGTGGCTCTCGATATAACGGACCACGGATATAACGGATATTGCTTAATATGGGAGAATTAGAATGGAACCAAATTATGATTTACAATAATACTTGTTATATTATGAGATTTATGGTATCACAAAGCTTTTGATATAACGGAACAAAGGACTGGTTTGGCCGATAATTAATGCCACTGGTCAGATTGTGAGTAATCGGTAAGTCGCGTATGAAATTTTCTGGGAAATTATTGAATAAAGTTTATTTGCTTCTTTTTATATGAAGAAAAATATCATAATCATTACAAACGATTTTACTGGATAGCACTATGTGTATGCACTGCGAATTGCAGCGGATAACTGACTTAAGAAACCAACGATCCCGATGCTCGGTGATAAAGTAGGCGTCAACTCGTGTTAAAAAAGGTATAAACCCGACCCGACCCTACCCGACCCGACCCTACCCGAGCCCAGATAGTAATACTTGGGCTGTGTTTAGACCGGACCCAGGCGGGCTAGACCAAGAGATGCTGATGAAATTAAGTCAGTGAATTGGGGCTAATCCGACCCGACTTCTAACGACATATCTTTCGCTTTGTCACATTTTGGTGGTGTTTTAAAGTCCTCACATTCTTTGTGGTACATTTGTGTTGTCGCTTATTAATTTGGTTACGTTTTTGTTAATTTGTAATATACTTCACGCTATTTACTTTAACGTGGCTTCCTAAAACGAGCTCGATTCATAACCAAATCGTTAAATTCATACAGAACGTATACAATGCATTTAGCGTCAACTCACATTAGTTGTCACCGCCTAGATTCTTAAGAATACTATTACACAATATTACAGGGCAATTATACGATATATATATAAAATATATACTTTAAATCATTTAATTTTGATATTTAAAACCATTTAGAAATTGTAACAGCCTAAAATTTTATTAACTATTTAAACGTGTTTAGTTATTTAATTCAGCTGACATAAATACAAATTTCTAAAGGAAACTGATGTTTCCACACCTCATTTTTGATATTACTGTAATCTTTTAAATGACTAATCCGAACTAAAAAAAATCTGTATTATTTATTACTAGCGCTTTTAATAACAATTTTGCGTAATCAAAAATTATGTTGCATTTTGTTACAAATCTAATCTTGGTATTTGATTGGTTGTGTAAATATCGGTTTCCATTTCTAAATATCACACATTTTTACTAACATGCTTTTTATTAAAGTAAATAATTATTCTTTTATTTTCGCCTAACGATAAGTCTAATAGATTTTTTTAAAGTCATGTTCAGATGTTATTGCACAATTACGACATACGTTCATGAATAGACGAGGTAATGTGCCTGCATATTTAAATTTAGATATTACACCTATATCATTTACTGTAAAGATTCTGTTTATCTGTTTAGTTGTACCCTTTTTATAAAAGCTGTATCGGATTTAATTGACCAAAATTCTACTAATATAGTCCAGCTACGCGATAAATTAAAAATGCTTTTGTATAAATTATTAAAAAATTACTTTATGTAAGCATTACCACCTAAAAATTTCACTGGCCAATTAAATTTCAAGAGTAGGTTTAACGCAAGAAAATTTTGTATACAAACATGCCTTTTGTAGATTATCTTACAGTATTAAAATAAAACTCAAACATATATTTATAATTTATAATCTGACATAATACATATACTGATTTGAATACACCACATTCATCAAATAGAAATCAAACGATGATTACATTCATCAAATAGAAATCAAACGATGATTACTTTCAACTAAAAACAAAAAAAAAAAATCAAGATAACATTAATCACTATTCTCCCAGTTACTGTAATAAAAACCTCTTCCCAATCTAATGATCTCATCAGAACCTACTTCAATAGAGAAATTTCTTAGAAAAATTGTCAACCATTATAACTCACAACATAGTATTGACAACAATAAATACTGAAAACAAGATAATAAAAGCTTGAGATATTAACACAAAAAATAAAAACCAAGATGTTTGAGAAAACATATCTAACAAAAATCCGCTAATAAATTTAAAGAAGAATACGACCAACTTAAAAATACCTATTATGGAGACAACAAAAAATTCGGGCAAGTTGACACCAACATGTACCAGCATGACAATTATACATAAGGAGTAATAAACACAAAAAAAGAACGATTAGAAACGAAAAAACGATTGAAAGAAACTATACTACTAAAGTACATAGACGATGAAAATTCCAGGTCTGAAATGATAGGTAAACCAATTAAATAAAAAATGGTGGTGTTAACAAGGACAATGAAAAGAATCACAGAAGGCATTTTGGTTCATCTTGGCATGGGTGCATGCAAGGTTCTTCATCGCAGAACTGATAATCTTTACAGCAAGAGTGGTTATGTAAATGTTCCAGTTCCAGTTTTTTTGTCCAACAAATTTCATTAAGCAAAAATCATTTCCAGGAAGTTTTTTATATGTTTGACATTTGAAACAAAACTCTGAAATGATTGGATCTGGAACAACAAGTTCATAAACTATTGCATCATATATACGTATTTGGTCATAGCTTCAGAAGGATAGATAATAATCAACTACACTCGCACGTGTTTCATTAATTCTTTCTAGTGTCTTCTGATTAGCTCGACACCACGAAGAGATTGCTCTAAGATTCTGATTATTTTTTATTTAGGGTCGATTTTATCTATTATCGGAATTAACTGACCTGCCCACCAGGTCGTATATTTATTGGTACATATCGGTAACTCCTTCTTTTTGCCACTTTTATTTAAATCAATGAACTCAGGATCGCATTTTAAAGTAAAATCATCATTATATTCCATATCCTCGACGAAATCAGGAATTTTAATGGATGAGAAGTCAAGTGTTTCTGACTTAATTATATCAGCTAACTCTTCTAAAGATAATGGCTGCAAGTTCTCATGCCATTGTAAATAAAAACTTTTATAAATACTAGGAAGATTAGCTATGTATTCGGGTTGTGTACAGAAAGCTTTACATTTTTGTAACCAATAATCTGGTGCCCGAATGTCTGACTTCGTTTATATCAAAAAGACGTACTCGACCATTTTTCGTTCTGCCAACTCTTCCACATCGTTGGTCTATATTTTGTTGGGTTGTCTCGTATTTCACGAGTCTATCAATTTCAAAAATCATATTATGGACAAGTGCAACTGACGTAACAACATATAGATATCAACATCTGTTTTCTCGCACAAGCTGGGATAGGTGACATCGCAACTAGTTAGTTCATCAGCTTGTGAGTGTTTACGAATATTAACCTTTTTTCTGTAGTTTTTCGAAGAGCTTCTTGCTTAACATGTTCCCACCAAGCTTTAAAAGATAACTGTATAGGTCCAGAGATCTCATAATTAAATTGTTTCTGACAGCTATAGATATAATATTAGTATTTTCCTGTAGGTGTGGTAGTCATAAACACTTTTAAAACACTTTCTGTTAACATCTATTTTATAAACTCTTGATAGCCCATATCTTCACAGTGAGCTTCGTCTACGACAATAGCAACATTTTTATGTGTTTTAAAGTGCATCATGAAGGATTCTAAAGTGGAGTATATTAGACTACCACTGGTCTTTTGTGATCCAAAAAACCATAAACCTACTCACTTCTTCCGACTTGACATATATTTGAAGGTCGATTTGGCTGTTAATTGTTTCGGAAGGACGCAGATAACTTTTACTAATTACAGGTTTTTCTTTGCTGAAACTAGATATTGTAAGAAATCTGTAGTTTTACCAAATCTGGTTAGGGCAAAAATAGTACGTGGTCGTCCAGGAATGAAAGCCTCATTTGCAGTTTTTTGAAAATCGGTAGTACGCACTGAACATTTAGCAGCATGTTCTAAAGCCTCAGATATTACATCTGGGTCTTTATTACAAATGACTTCTTTTCCACATTTTGAACACTTCGAATAGTATTTATCTTTGGTGAGCTGGCGTCGCAGCTGTAAATATTCCTTTAGAATCCTCCGATAAGACACTACCTTATCAATCTGCCCTGCAAAAGCTGAGAACAGGTTATATTTAATATTGTTAGTGATAGTGCCTACAAAATCAAGGAAGAAGTCTTCGAAGCGATAATCGATTTGGTCAACGAAATCTTGTAAATATGAGGGAATTTTGAAGTTGCCGAGAGGGATGTGTTGTTATAATACCATCACCACGAGAAAGATGATGTCATAATAAGGGTTTATAAATCGGTACTGATTATAAGGCCACACAAATTTAATATCTTGGTTTTCATAACATGAAACTTTTGATCAGACCCGGCCGACCGGCTTTTTTTTTTAATTTTTCATATATAAATTTTATAAAATTTTTTTTTAAAAACCCACCCGGTTATTAAAACATATATAAAAATTTTTTATAAGCTTTTAAATTTTGACCCGGCCGGGTTATGAAAACCAATTAATTAATTTTGTATGGCCTAATCGAGAATATCATCGGTAAGGTTAAAATTTATCATAGCGAGTCTTTGAAGTAAAAAATTCGTAACGAATGAAATTAGTTGGAGTATATTATATCCAGGTAAGTTGGGCTAATAGAAATAAACTCTGTTCCTTCCCTGAGATCCCAAGTTTGAGTCAAGCGAATAAGATTGTAACCAACCATAATCATCAGTTAAAGCTTTCATATATATAAATTTCAATCCAAGACGGATTAAAATTTTTTGTATTTGGTGTAGTTGCACATCAGGTTTCAAAGTAATAGCAATGATTAGGCCGGTTAGTAAGTCTTTTGTACCTTGCGTAAATTTAAATAACAAATGTTCTCTATTCCTACACAAGCTATTAGATTAGGGACATATTCTAATATATTACAGCAGATGGCAGTTAAATTATGGAGGTTAAAACTTTCTTCTTCATAGAGCGTGACGTTTATCTGAGCGAGTTTCATCTGTTTCAATAAAATTTTCTCCTGAGACTTTAAAGATAAATACCGTTTTTAAGTATGGATTCGTATGGTAATGTGGCGTTTTTATAGTGAGAAGTGAATTGTAGATCTGGATAACGATATACGAGATGATTGACCTGATCTTGGAAGAAATTATATAAATCTTCATAATGAGCGGATAATATGAGGTATCCTCCTAATTGTTCTAAATGACACATAGATGTGTTGGTTTTAAAATTATTCAAATGACATGCTTTAATTCTTTCAGGATCATGAATAGTTTTTCTAAAAATGATTAAGTTGTTGTTTGTTATTTTCTTTAAATTGGAAAGATAGGTTCTGTTGTCATTACTAAATTGTAACAAGTTTTATATATTGAGTAGAAGATCTTTTATTTAAAGAAAAATAATAAAAGAAGAAATAATATTTTAAAAAAATAGAATTTAAATTTAATAGTTTTTTAGATATTATAAGATATGTATAACAATAAAATTGGTATTTAAAATCAATCTATTATTTAGTTTGTATAGGTCAGGTTTAATAAATGTTTATTCTTTACAAGAATTATTTTTTTTTTTATTTTTTTTTTAAATATTAAGGTGAGTACTTGTGATCCAGGATTTTATTAGTAGTATATTTGGCTAATGGATGTTTTACAACCATAGAGGGCAACCATGAGAAGAGTGTACAACTAACCACTCGTACAACTTTAATTATTGTCTAATTTAAGTAGTTCATCTGAAGGTTCTACACTAGCTGTCATACCTGGAACCTACTTGTAGGTTCCCTATTTAATCACTCTGTTTCCGTATCCACCCACCTACCTTTGCCTACTAATGATCCTGGCCAATGCCAGTGAAAATATGCCATAACCATTAAGTCTTTAAAGCAATTCACTCATATGAGAAATCTTTGACTTTGTACTAAACCTTCCAGAATTTTCTGTATTCCATTCTTACAGCTGACCTAGTATCACTATGACCAAAACCAACACTGGTGATTAGGGCATACTATTAAACTGCTATGCCCTTGTAGAGTTTACCCCAACTCTGATACTGACTTCACAATATATCCTTACTACTTTGGTATTTAATTCAAGTTCCACTAAGCTGCCATTCCAGATAGCCTGAAAAGGTAGGTTGAAACCATACACCTCTGGTTCACATGTTTGCTGGCATGTGCTCTTTTTCTTCGGAACTCAGAAATTCTGATGACCTGGTTGGTTCATCCAGTTTCTCTTCAAAGACCAGCACATTTGTCCAGTTTCATAAGTTTTAGCTCTGTTTTATAAGTCTAGTCTTTACAGTAGCACCATCGAAGATTCGGGTTACCTCTCTACTTAGATCTTTCAAGTGGACTTCTATCTTCCTACCTGGTTCTTGTGATTTACATAGCCTAAGGACTTATCTTGGGTTTATATTGCCTGATACCAGTTTGTGTTTCCTTATACAATGGTATATAAGTGCTTAGACCTTCCAGTCATGCTAATATGACATGGGTTACAAGTATTCTATCCCAACCAATTACAGAAGCCAGTTAGCCATAATACAGAAAGAATTACAAATTTTCACTATTACTGGGATTTGAACTCTAGATCTGCCACTTGGGGGTCGACAACCTATCCACTTCACTAAGTCATCATACCCCTTTTTACAAAAATTATTAAACTTTAAACTTAGAAATATTTATAAAAAATAATCAAAGAAAAAAAATTTTTAATAATCAAATTGTTTATAGTTATATAATATAAAGTTAATATTTATCAAAGATAATGAACTCTTTCCAATAATCCTCTACACTAATTTTTCCATATATACCAATCTATAAAAATTATATAGTTAGTATATTTATATATAACAAAACTTTGTTATATAGCATCTAGATTCAAAAGTTTCAGATTACATATAGGTAATATAAAAAAGAGTTAAAAAAGACAGCTTCTTGTAAGTTTGGCTCTCTAGTAAAAGTCTATAGAGTTATTAAAAATATAATTTTGACTACAACCAAGAAAGTTTTTATTAAGCTATATCTGAATAACAGCAAAGATAGAAGCCTAATTAGATATACTATTCTATATAATATAAACTTTTACATTCATTACAGTTGGTACTCTAAAAAATTTACTTCTTACTTTTTTATAAGAAATTTTTATTAAAAAATAATAATCTAATTTATCTTCATCAAAATCAATATTGTTAATCCTTCTAAATTAGATTATTTATCAGTTCTATTTTGAAAAGGTCTGTGTTGTAAATAAAATATAAGTACATATGTTTTAAAAAAAATATAACAATAAGATGAGATTGGAAATTTTTAACAAAAAATAAAATAATTAGTTAAAAATGTAACAAGTATTGAAATGTAAGATTTAATAAAAAGTATAATAAGTTATACATAAAAATAGATCTAGTGACAAGTCAAGATATTCAGTACATGAAAAATTTTCTATTAGTTTAGTTTTGATTAATTGTTTCTCTTAGAATATAAGTTTTAGTATTAAATATATTAATTAGATAGAGTTAAAGTAGAAATTATTATATTTAGTAACATATAATTTTTAGTAGACTGATACAGTTTTTATAATTAGTAATTATTTGTCTGCTTTCATTAACAATTTTTTTCTTTTTTATTTTTTGATATTTGTTTTTTTTTATTTTTATTTTTATTTTTTTTTTGCTCTTAAGCAGCCATGCTAGTACTTTATTAAGATTCTTGCAACTATATACTGTTGGGTTCGGAAGTTTGCAACTCTGTCGCTCCAAAATCCTATACCTCGTGTAACGTACGATAAGTAACCTTGTCGAAAGAGGGTGTTAGATTTGGCTTGTGGGCAAGAAAGGCTTTCGGTTACTTTGGGTCAACGAATGCAAGTAGGGTCAGTCACGTGTACAAGGGCTTGAACGAACAACG